ATTGAATTAGCAATTTGCGGCTCGGAATAAGCAAATCAAGCTCCACTCAAACTCACGACTCAGACCCACCACGACTACTTCGATCGACGTGAGACTCGATGGCTTGACTTGACTTGACGCCGCGATTTCAGTGCTGGGCTCATCCTATCCTGAGAGAGATCTGCCGTTGGTCTAGCTCCCACACCCCCCCGCTTCTCCATCCTGGCCCACGTCTTCAGAGTGAGAGGCACAGCTCGCGGGCCTTTGCAAGTGCCTTGACCAAACACAGCAGACGCCAGACTTGCGTCAAACGGTGACTGGGACGTTGATGCGGAAGCCGCACCTCTGCGTCCCTTTGCCCGCCACTCCGCTGGCTCTTGAGGGCACGAGGGAAAAGAGAAAGAAGAGCGCATGCACCCTCTCACCGTATTCGGCAGCAGAAGGCCAGGCCGCAGAAACGGGAAGCACGCTCATCAGTCGTGAGTGGTCAACCTCCTGATAGAGCAAATCGAATGAATGGGAAAAGTTAGCGTCAGCGAGAGGAAGGGCTTTGTTGCAGCTCACGTGACTTGGGATGGTCCAACACTAAAACTCAGACTATGACTGCAAGAGGCTTGCAATACAACAAACAACATCTCTCTCATAAGATCTTGAGCTTGCATGCCTTCGACTTGATCTGCTCTATAGCATTCACTCATCCTGCCTTCGTGCAGAGTCGCACATCAAAATCAAAAGCTCTCGCAACACGATGCGTTGTCTGTGGTACTGCCAGCGGAAGGCTCACAGACATGGCCAAGCCAAGGTGGTGCGGGAGGCGAGCAGCCTATTCAACGTCGTGACAGGCGGGTGAGAAGATGCAGGTCGACCGTTGGCCGTTGGATGGCAGTCAGGGCCCGCCAAAGACGCACGATGCTGGCTTCATCGCATCTTGGCACACGACAACACCGGCGATCTTGCAGTAGCCCATCTGTCGAGATGCGTGCAAATGCAACACCACTTGGACAGCCAACGTGCATGTAGATGAGCATCCAAACTCGAGCTCATCCAAGCAGCTTGGCAAGAGGACTTGTCGGCCAGCTAACAGATCGAAAGGTGTGCAGCCAAAAAAATCGTGATGGAAGCCTTTCAAGGCGCGTCCTTTCTCTCATCCTACTCTACACCGCAACCTTTGCTTGAAGAAATTACGACTCCACGACATCACGACTTGGACGAATCTCACGAATCCAGACTGCGAAGCTTTGCTATTGCGCTCGCACTGCGCCGCTCCGGCCCACCCCCAGCCTTGGCGCACACGTCTCACACCCTCACCACTTTGCACCGTCGAGCAACCTCATTTCCACACAGCAGCAGCATGGCCAACCTCAAGCTCACGACTCTGAGGGAGCTCGCGCTGCTCACAGATGCGACCACGGCAATCGGCGTTCGCGTGCCATCTCTGAGCGAACATCCGGTCGAAGAACAGCTGGAAATTTTGCGACGGATCCATGTTCCACCTCGAGAATCCTCAAGGCAACACCTCTCCTTCTCTCGCAGAGCCTCTTCGTCGGGTCAAGAGGTGCGTGCAAGCAGGGTGACAATGCTCCGAACACACTGTCCAGTCTTCTTTTCGTCACAACGCCTTTGCTGATTTGACCCATGATGATGTGTCGCTGCTTCATTCCTCAGTTCGATCGCGAAACTTGGCAGCCCTTTCATCTCGAAAGAGTGCCCGAGATGGATGAAGACGTAGAGACGACTGTCAAGCCAGGAGCTCGAAAGCTTTACGGACAATGCGACCTCGACGAAAGCAAATGCACTCCGTGTGGCGCTTCTTCCATCAAGTACAAGCTCAGATTGGGCACTCGACGCTTGCTGGTGAGCAAAGCAGATGTGCAAAAC